TATGTTGCAGTATTACATGCATGCCAGACACCTGGCCCTCAGCAGAACATTCCCAGATAAATTTGAGATGGAACCAAGTGCTCCACCAAAGGTAAAGTCTGCTTTTGGAGATGAGTTCATCTGCATTTTAGCTACTTTACAAAGGGCGGGGGGTGGGAAGAGAGAAAGAAAAAAAGAGAGAGAGAGAGAGGAAAGTTAGCAAGTTTTGTTTTAATTGAAGGGAAGTAGGAACTCATGGTTAAAGGCTCAACAAGAGAGCTCATCAAGACCCGAGCTCCAGTCAAGAGTTGCAATGGTATCAGATGCAAACACTAGGGGTACCAGGTGTAATACAGGAACAGTTCTTCAGGTGATTTAGAGTGACCTGGATGGCCCTTGAAATTCCTGTTAGAAGGATTTTTTTTTTTTTTTAAATAAGGAGAAAGGAGGCTCAGGCCAAACCCCCTTGCTTGGTTCTGGTTTTGCAGATATTGACATTATAAGTAGGAAGCTGTTTTAAAACTTCAGACTGAATTCTGAATTTCAATAAGTATATTCTGACTACAGAGTACAGAAGGATTTCATGTTGTGTTAATTGTTTTAAGGCTCAATAAAGATAGTAATATTTTGCAAAAAGCAGTGCGGTAAAGGCAGCATATTGTTTATGGCACAGGCTAAAGATCACTGCCGTACAAGCATGTGCTTAGTGACAGAGGAGGACTGAGGGGATCTGGGTTCAAGGGAGTTTAATTTTAGAGTGCAGAGTAGGTCTAGCTTACATCCTACTGTTGGTTTCCTTTGAAGTGTTGATAGCCTTAAATTGCTGCATGCAACCAGTTAAGGAACATTGTGATAATACATACAACTTGCTTCTCTCTGCCAGACGGAAGGTTTCAGGTACCCCAGGCCTTCATCAGTGCCACCATCACCTTCTGTGTCTCAGCATTCCAGCCCTCACCATAGCGAAGGCGAAGACGAAGATGAGGATGAAAGATATGACGAGGATGAGGAAGCTGAAAGGGATAGGCAAAACATCAAGTCTCCCTTTTCCCTTGGTGTATTGCCGCAAGGAAAAAAGAAGCAGCATGGAGAATACAGGAACTGAATTCATTGCTCTCACCCTGACAGGGTCTCTCCATCTACTCAACAGTTTCTCCTGTAGGCTTGGCAAGCTTTGTGTTAAGAACAGTGTGATATAATTAGGGGAATCTTAAATGTTACTTGAGCTACACTGTTGGAAAGCCTAATATTATTTCACCTTGAAAGTAGTTTAAATTACAATTCTCCTGTGCCCCTTTGAGGTAGAAGAGATTTCTCAAACTTAATAAACCTAGAGAATGCGACAGTCCTCTCAGGAACTTATACAAACTGCAGATCATACTTTTGTCTACATAATCACCTATATTAATCATAGTCCATGCTGATAGCTCCATTGTCGGTGTCCCAAATGTATTACTGCTTCATTTATGTTCCCCCTTTTCCCCTCCTAAACTAACAGGAACTTTAAGACAGAGCTCAAAAAAAGTGTTACATTGGGGAAACCTCAGCAGGGTTAAAAAAGATACACTGAAAAGAAAATGGTCTTTCTTTTTCCTTATGCTGTTTATTGTAAGCTTACATGATTTAAAACATTTTTTTACAGCACACAGAAGTGTCTTGATCCAGTGGTAAAACATACTCCCTGTGGAACAATATAAAGTCTTATGCAGTGGGCATTTGAATTTTAGAGACAAATGAAGTCATCTTTCTGAAGTCACTTAGACCCACAATAAACAGCAGACCGTTTATTTTCCGATTCCTCTGGTATGTCTCTTTTATTGTTTTCATCTTGTCTTAGATTCTAAGTTTGTTAACAAATTAGTTTGGGAGGAAATTCGTGTGACTTGGCTACAGAGAATGACAAAATTTCCTTAAGTAACACCTTCCCCTGCAGGCAAACCTCCATGTCATCGAGCAACGTTGCAACATTGAAAGATGAGTAACTCTTGTTCTTCCAGTTGCCCCATTAGTCCATGGTCTATTTCACTTCTTCTAGAAGAGACCTAATCATAACAAATAATGCTAAAAGTATTCCAAGAACAGATCTGCCCCATAGACATAATTTTGAAAAGCACCTGAAACTTCAAAGTGCTTGGGGAATAATTGAATCTCACAATGAGAACTAGGCATTTCATTTGCCTTACAGAAAGCTTTCAAAAGTATTTCAATTCCTAGAGATGCAAAGAGGGCCTGAACATGCTCTTCAGAAGTAGATCTTGACATGAAGACATTAGGAAGGGGATTTATCTTTTATTTTAGGAGTTTGTGCATCAAGAATTTCTCATGCTGTTCAAGAAAAGACATTTCCAGGAATTGATTCAGCCTGTTCTTCAGTAGGTAAGATGATGTAACCTTTGAAGGTATTTACCTTCACTGTCAATCTCAGGGGGAGTCTAGAGGTCCAACTTTGATTAGACACCTACATTTCAAACACTTAACCAATGTTTGATGATGTGGTTCTTACTATCAGCCATATAGACTAAAAGTGATTAGGTACTTATTTGTATTTTTGGCCACCTAAAATCAGTTTTAAAATTGGACTTTCATTCTTAAACTGATTTGGATACCTGAAAGAATAACTATTCTCAGAAGACAGGTTTGAGCTTTTATGGCAAAAGCTTAATTGTATTTAAAAGGAGTCACTATTTTTTTAGCCATTTTAAAAGTAATTAAAAAAATGAGCAGTTATTTTTCACGTGAAAGTGGTGGAAGCAAAGATACTGCAAATATTTTCCTTCCTACAGTTTACTAAGTGGAGAACAACTGCATTTTGTGAGTTCAGAAATGTATGGTCTTCCCCAAAGCGCTTTTAATCAAACTTCCTCTGCAGAATCAAAGAATGTAATGGCTGAGAGTCCCAACAAAAGAACATTTAAAGGGTATATTGATTGCAAGTTAACGTTCTCTTAAAAAAAAAAACAAAAACAATTCAAGAAACCCAACATTATTGCTTGTATTTCAATGCACTCTTCTACTGAACAAAAACATTTCACCCCAAATTCCCTGTCATCAAAATTGCATTAGCATCATCTGAGAGTGATCCAGCACTTCCTTTGTTGCCTAAAAATGTTCTAGTAGCCGCAGGCTGGTGAATGTCTGTTTATCATTGTTCCAGACCCAGCTTCATTGCAGTGCTGAAACATGTGATCACTACACACATATTGTAAATATTGCTAAATGATGCAGGCACAGCACTGACAATATCAAAAGTGGAAAGATTTTGCTAGGGTTGCATTAAGACAGCTGCACTTTTTCTTTCTGGACAAGTCCCAGGGAAGAAAAATAAGCAATATGTATGATCCAGGTTGCAGGTACCCTTAAATGTGCTTATGGTGTTTGAGTTCCCTGGGAAGAGCAGAACGCTGGCATGACATCTCACACAAATCCAGCATGCTCATGTGCTTCGAGCACCTGCCCAGTGACAGAAAGTGCACAACTTCTGAGATATGACTAAGGTGAATGCTATGCCCATTCTTCTAGAAATGGTCCCGCAGCAGCCAAAGTGACCTCTGCCTCGTGCCTCTAGGCTTATTTTAGTTCTGCCTTGAATGCTGGGACTAGCCATCGGTAGCAAGGCAGTTTAACTACAGTAAAACATTCCTGCCTTTTGAATTTGCAGTGTTAGAGGGAATGGCTTTGCATTCAGTCAAGGCGACAGATTGCCTAACTTAAATGCCACACTTCTCTAATAGTTACTGACACATGACAAGCTTGGTAGCAGCTATCTATTACATAAGGGATTATCTGCCAAACTGAAAATATTAGGGTTTCACAAATAGCTCACTGACATGGCAGAATGTTTATTCTATTTCATGATATTCGCAAAGAATTGTTTAAGCTAGTGAGCTTAGATCAGGAATACATACAAAAATCAGTCAATAAGGAATGGGATTAATACAGTTTTTGTATCTCTGGGACATTTAGAAGGATATGAATTTCATGATACTAATAAACCAAAGGATGTATAAGCTACCTACTTTTTGTCTGAGCACTGACTGATCATACTATAAAATATGCTAAAGAATAACTTAGATGCATCTGAGATATTCAGATTATGCTTGAAACAAAGAGTAATTAAATTAATGAAAAGATTCTGGTGGATACTGTTGGTCTTTAGATGAAATTCATCATTAATGTGTTCTGTCATACAATATATACTGCTATTGAAAGACATATTAGTGCTTAAAAATGAACAATCAAAGACATTTTGATTTCTCCAGTTATATTCCTCCATGAAATGATATAGATTATAAACAATTACTGAAAGTGCCCATAGCCCCATGATAGAAATTAATTCCTCTGTTCCTTCAGCTGCATTTCTTTGTGTTGGGGGGAAGCCACATTATAGTTAGTGTGAGTTAATAAAATTAATTAGCAGTGTCATGAGAAAGATCAGAGGAAAGTAGCACTAAAAGATGAAGAGCACAACTAGGGTTAAAGGTTAAAAAAATAAAACATAGTTGCTTGGACACAAGAATCATGTGGCTACTTTTTAATTACATGAGAACTACAGAGGACTTTCCAGTAAGACCACAAAAACACATAAATAATATTTATTGACCATCAGCAACTTACAGGGCCAGCAGTGAAGCGGTGAAGGAATCTACCTTTATCAGAAATAAAAAGGCTTCAATATACAGCTGGGTGGAAGGTGGTAAAAAGTTTCCCAAAGACTATTGAAAAATTGGTTTTAAAGAAGTAGTTGTCCAAAAAGACAGTTTTAATCATCTTTTCAGGTAAGATGCTACACTGTATTTTAAATTTTGGGTGGGACATACAAAATGGTCTAAACAAGGCAGGAACTTTACAAATAATTTCCTTATCTGAATTAGTAACTTTTAATCAGTTTGCTTTCAAAATGTTGCAATGAATATATACGTCACCCTTCGGGAAATTAAGTGAGGGTGGATGATATACTCTGTTTACACAAATCATGACTTCAGGGCATAGGCAATACAAATGTTAAAGAAATTTGAAATATTTCACCAATTTGATAGATTATCTGCCAAGTAGCCAGGGTGATCACTGTTTTCTTCTTCAACTGTAAGACAAGACACAAGGGGGAAAAATAAGCTGTAGATAAAAGAAAGTTCAGTCAGCCAAAGTTTTCATGAAATAGATGTGCCTCAGGTACAGGCCTAGTGTAATGTGAATGCTTAGCTAAGAGATGCAGGCATTTGTAGAAATAGTCATATCTTCTCTCATTTTAAATGTAGGAATTTTTCTGTTTGCTGAAGAGCAAAGATACAAACCATGTCCAGAGGGATATCTTAGTACAAGGTACAAATTTTTCATGCAGAAGTGAATAAAGTATTTGTTCTTTATTTGCACGTTTCTCTCGGCCAAGAGGATTCTAAAATCGCCTGAAAGTGATCTTCTGAAAGTGCAGGGCTTACCCAGGTTTGTCTATGTTGTTATTCCCTACTAAAATGATGGCAATGTTATTCCACATAGTGTTTTTCAAACAAGCTGCCACTTCTGCTTAGGTCTCTCAGGTGTGTCGCCTTTTTTCTTAGGGGGTTGTTGCTGTCCACTGTCTCCTCTGGAATAGCAACAGCAGGCAGGAAAATACCGCTAAAATGTATTAATTGTGAACTTCAGAGAATTTTCTCTTTTTGTCAGCACACAAATGACAGTTTCACTGATTTATCTCTAGACTTTCTAATATATTTTGTCCAAAGCACTATGCTCATTTTTCATTCTGCCTTTCTCTCAGTCAAAATGCCACTTAATTTTTTTGGTTAGCAGAGTTCAGCCAGGGCAGGAAAGAGAGAACTGAGCACAGAACCCCAGCGCTACATGATGTACAGTGGGAGATTTTAGGAAGTGGAGAAGACAGGAGTGATCCCAGCATACCTACACATACACCAGGTAAATCCTGTCAGGTTTTTCTCAAGCCCTCTTTTCTTTTAAGGGAAACTGCGTACTTTAGATAACTAAGGAGAGGAGATATCACAGCAATGGCAAGGCAGTTATTTATTACACACTATTGATGTCAAAGGCAATTAGGCAGTAACAGGCGTGTCTTACCACTCATCTGTGTGTAAGGTACAAATCTGCCTCATATTTTACTAGGGTTTTACTTCACATTTCCTAATTGAAGTAAAGTGCTTTTTTCTTTTTCAGAAATTAAGAGTCTGAATAAAGAACTCATAACAAGGACAATAAGAAACAAAGGTAGCTTCTAGCCACCTTCTGTTCCCCCTGTCCAGAACCAAGGAGGGGAAGAGCATAACTTAAACAAACTCCTGGCCTTGTATATGCTACAACAGCCTCCCCAGCACCCAGGGGCCAGAGCACAGCGCAGGCTCTCCACAGCACTGTAGGATGTATCCTCCTTTTACAACCTCCCTGTCCCCAGCTCCATTTCAGAAAAATAGTCTAAGCACCTGAAGAGGTGGAAGGTAGAAAGACAGAGGACATTGATAGCATAGATTTAGGGTCTCAGCCTCGTGAGCTGTATATATGCGTCAGACGATGAGGGGGTTCAGGACAATGGCTTTGCAGGAAAGCTGGTCTAGGGAGGAAAGGTGAACTATAGCAGGGTGAGGTAGCTGGGGAACATAGGACAGGGGTCCTCATCTAAGGGGGTGCAATATGTGTGAAGGAGAGGAGGAAACGAAAGTTACTTAAGCCTGACTCTAGCTGGGTTTTGCTGGAGGGTGCTGTGGAAGGGACATGTGGATTCTGAGGTTCTGAAGTGAGAAGTGGAAGCACATAGCAGGTGGTGAGGAAGCAGGTGGTGAGGAGGCAGAGGTGGAAGGGTTAGACAATATCTCTGGGAGGCTGGGAACACATGAATGAATTACGGGATTTTTCAGGATATTTCAGGGCTCTGCTTCTAAATGTCATTGGGACCCCTTGTCAGCTGTGCCAGTGACAGAGGTCTCAGGAGCCAGATGTGAATCCCACAGCTCCTCTGCTGGGGCTTTTTAGGTCTGCTGGGGCGTTTCAGGATGCTTTTAAGCCTTTCCAGCAGGACATAAGAGCCAATGGAGGAACGAAAATTTCACAAGCAAACAATATTCTGCAGAAAAAGGAACCCCAGTAGAGTTTTGTTCTGGAAAATTCAATTCAAAATAGCCATTCTTTTGAATTCAAACCAATAAACATCTGAAAAGCAAATTAAAAGCAGAATATGCAAAAGTTTACCTGCTATCATTTATCTGATTCATATTCTAATCTGTGTAAATGTACACCCTAATACAATGCACTCTATGGAATAATATCTCATCTCAAAGCAGGCCTTTTAGATCAACTTACTAAATTGTCAGTAAATTAAATACTGGTAAACCCCTTTTTAAAAAGCCAGGGTAAGACAAAACATGCATTTACCTCCTTCTTGTGCTTTCTGTAATGAACTAAGGAACAGTGCTGCAGCTTCAGAAAGAGATAAAGGATTTGTGTTTTGGCTGCGTGTTTCTAGAATTATAAAATCAGAGATGCATGGTTTGTTAGCATTTACTGGCAGTTATTTATTTTGTTCTTTGCTTTTTTATCTCTATAACTAGAGACCCAACAAGAAAAAAATACTGTTGTCTCCTTCACTCTATAACATTCTCTGCTCAAACCCAGCCTGATAAATATCTAACACAGAAGAGACTAGCAATCTTTTTAAAAAGGAGATGGTTTTAAAGTCCCTTAGAAGGTAAAAAGAACATTTTCTTTTTTTTATATGCTCCTTTCTTTGCTACAACATTCTGTTTCCTCCAGAAACATTATCTAACATGGATTAATGTTGTTTATTTTTGTCATTTGTCAGTTCAGCACAATTAATAATTGATTGAATTTTTTCCAGTGGAAAAAGAAAGTCAAAGGTACTGATGATAATCCTGCTTAGCAGCCAGGTCAGTCTGGAACATCACTTATGTAAATGAAGTCACACAGATACACAAGAGAGAAAAGTCAGACAGTTTTTATCATGTGCTTTTTGAAATGAAGGAACTAACAAAAGGGAGTTTAATTGCTTCCCTGAATATAATTCCAGGAAAACAAATCCCCTCCAGTTTTCACAGATTTCTCCCATAATGTGAGGAAAGGCTGACTTATTACATAGACCTGTGCACATGTACTTACCAAGCTGCATTCTGTCATACAGATCCTTTTGCTGGCTCTCATCTGAGATGAATCGACGTCCCTCTACAAAAGCAGTGGGAAAAAAGTGAAAACAAGCTCCTGAATCTGTTGCAATTCTTACTTTATGATCCCTGAACTAGTCTTTTCAAAATACACAATCACAGCAATACTTTTACAAACATAAAATGAGAGGCATAAGTCCATCCTGGGGTCTTTCCAAATCACCAATAGCCCATCCTAACCCGGAACGCTCAAGACATACTTTATTCCATAGAACTGGTGTTTCAGCACTTTTCATTCTTGTATTAACCTGCTGTAGGAACTGTGAGTTGGGAGGAATTTACTGTCTTTTCCTCCCTCTTTCCTCAACTGCTGTACAGTCAAAAGCCTTCAATCTCTTTGCTGGACTGTAAAGTATTGCCTTTTAAAGGGATATTTCTATTTAAAAAATGAAAAAAAAAAACCTAAAAAAAAAATCACATTACTTCCTATACATCAGTAAGAATGATACACAAGTTGTTATAGGACATGGTGCATTATTAAGATGGAACAATTAAACAAAACAAAAAAGGGGCAAATTCTTTGCTTTTATGAATAGAAATAATTAATGTCACTAGAACTTTTTTCAGTTGCACTTACAGTTGTTTAGAGCCTATATTTATTTTGTGGTGTTATTATTTATATTGTCTCCCTTTTGCATTTCTGTCAGGATCATAAGCTTCAATTATTTTTTTTTAATATCAAGAAAGCTATTTTTCTTGCTCTCTTAATATCTACTGTACTTGATAGCTCTTAATTTTGAAACGATAATTCAGAATAGAATTTTTAAAAATACAAATATTTCTGCTAAATTTTGTGGATTTGCATCAGGGGACAAAATCTCTCTTTGGCTCTAAATTTTATCTTTATATTTAATGCTTCTTTAGCTCTGGACTAACAACAGAAACTCAAAAGGTCATCTGTGCAGCCTTAACACCACAATATTGATAACACTGACGTCCAAGTTCTCCGCAGAAGAGGTTACTTGTGGTCTTGATACGAACTCTAACGCAAGATTCTTGTAATAGGAATGTGTGTTCTCCTGTTGTTTGAGAAGGTGTTTTAATAAAGCCTGAGAGAGAATAAGGAATGATAACTATATCCCATGTGTCTTAAACCCCATTTAGGATTATTTCAGACAAGGAAACTGCTTTTCCAATAGGTTTTACAATCAAGCTTCAAACTCTATACATTTTCAGTAGTTTGTTCTGCTTTCTTATTCCAATACTTGCTTTCTTCAATTTGATTTCTTTAAAAAACAGTAATAATACTGGCAATGCCACTGTTTCAGAGACAAGAAGGAATAACAATTCACCCATCCCTGCAGGCCTCAGAACTTCTACCTCCACAGCATCCTCGGGGATTTACTGCTTGTGTGGAGCCAAGCAGACCAGGAATAATCCAGTGGTAGAGAAAGTTATCTCCTCAAAATGGAAAGAGCTTGGGACTTACGTGCACCCTTCAAATAGAGCATAGCCTGAGGAGTCCAGTTTCTCCTTTGGAAATGAGCCTTTATGCCAAAAAAAAGAGAAAAGAGACATATCAATGTTGCATGCCATTACTAACTAGTACAAATACCTAAACAGCACCAACCTGCGAGATTCATGGGTGATGCACATTCAGCCTGACCAAGCTGTTTACCTGAGGTGCACTCCAGGAGAAGGATAAGAAGGATGCTGCCAGGAACAGTGCCATTGCAGATGCTGTCAGTTTACGCAGTCCCTGTGCACAACAAAGAACCACAAGGTACAAGAAAAGCCTTTCAGATCTGTAGATCCTCTCAACTTCAAATCTAAATGCAAGGGTACTTCCAGTCGCTCCTTTCTCCCTGTCTTGCTGCCAAACCTCCTCTTGCTCAGTAGCTATTTCAGCTTCAATACACAGTGATCTGATGGGATGATGAATGTTAAATCAAACATATTTTATTCTCTTTACTCGCAGTTATTATGAAGGTTCCATACCTTTGTGGTATGTGGCAAGCACCTTTTGTGCTCCTGTTTACAAGGACGTTAGATCCTCAAGAAATGAGAATAATGTACAAACTAAGGGGAAAAGATTATATAAAGTATATCTTGATTTTACCAAACCTCGAGTCATAGAGTTTAGACAACAAGGAAATGTAGGGGACTTGCCATTCCAAACAAACCCGCCAACCAACCAGGAGAGCGGATCACTACTTCCTCAGGAAAAGAAAGTTTTTAAACTTAGCATCCTATTTGCATCAACCATGATTACACACATGTCACGAGAGAGGCTTTTTTGATTCTTGGAGTTTGTTCGCTGATGCAGCACATGCAAATGAAAGCATGGAGTGTGAATCCTGTGCGAACAAGTTGCATCTCTGCTTGTTCGCACAGACCATGTCGTTATTCATGCATTGATAACAGTGAGGGGCAACAGATAGCATCTAACATTATGATTCAGAGTGGTTTATTTCATCCTGTTTTTGAGAGCTCATTGTGCTATTAATGTTTTTTTAATGCAGTTGTTTCAAGCGTGCTGAATATAACTATGTATATATTCCTCTCAGGTTATTTTAAAGTTAAAATTATTAAGCCCCCCTGCAGTTCCTAAATATTATACTCACATGAAAAAACATAAGTTGCAAACCAAATATTTCCCACACACCAAAAGAGTCTCACTCACCTTCATACTTAGTTCAGTGGCAAATCTTCAGTCTTTTCTTGGGATAATGTGTCACAAGGTTTGGGGGTCCCTTTTTAAATCTTCGGAGTGAAGGTACCCTCCCCTTCCGTGGCAAGGCAGAGGAGTCTAAAGGGATCTCTTGTCAGCCCTGTAGATGGAGAAGTAGAAGGTCTGATGACTCCTGAGGGAAACCTGTAGTCTTGCAGGAAGTCAGGGAAATGATTGAAAGATGGATACACTTGGAGATGCACCCCATTAGCCAGGTGAATACCTTCTGAATACATCAGCATCAGCCCTGTGCATTTGCAATACGTCACCTTCTGGCTAGATGATCAATAACCACAGCCAGAAGCAGGAATTAATATGGATGATGAGTGTTTACCTAGGATAATCTAACAGATATCAGATTGCTATCCATTGTGGGAGCTGGAAAAGTTAGTAAATTACTCTCCAGTCATAACATGCCAACATCAAGCAAAAGGTAACTTATCCAGGGTTGCTAGCTTGAGGTTATTCCTAGCATACATTTAGAGGATGCAATTTCTTGTTTGACTCTCTAACTCTCTCTTGTATCCAGTTTTCTTACACACAAGTAAAAATACAAAGCTGAATAAAAAAAAAAAACCACCAAAAAAACCCCCCAACCCTTAAGAGTCAGAAACACTTTTCTGTCTCATGGATTGGTTGGAGTAAAAGCTCAGATCGTGGGCTTGAATAGGTCAAGCGGTGGAGCAGTAAACAGAAAAAAGGCAGGAAGTGGGAATCAAAGAAGCCGTTTCCATAAGCTACTGCTCAGTGATTGTACGACTCATGACAGTCATGGACAGTGGGTTTGGTCCTCAGGCAAAGAGCTAGTCATGCTTGGTGCCTAGCCTTGCTGGTTCTGTAGCTAGGGGTTTTATCTCTGCTCCTGCATTTTTTTCCCTTGTAAAATGGGAGAGGGGAGCAGAAAGGGAAGCAAAGCAGATAGGGAGCCAGAAATCTGCTGATTAGAAGATTGGCCAGTAGAAAGTTTACTGTGGCAGCCTCACAAATAGGACCAACCTGTGGTCTAAGAAAAATACAGGTCAGCCCATATGTGTGACAAACACACACTCGTGTATGTGGAGTCTGAGCAAGGAGTCTGCAGATAAGCACTGCTAAGGCTCGTTATGAGCTTTTCCTTCACATGATGTGTCTGTGGAGACTGCTCTGAAGCACACTGTTAGTGAAGGTGCAGTTGCTCTCCAGCTTTTGGGGTGATATTGCTCTGTTCTCTGCTCATACCAGACAGAACTGTTCATCAAATATACAGACCCGGTATCGTCTGCAGCTCACTCTGGTATAGATGCAAGAAATGAGAAGGTGTTATAGTTCTTGGCCTCATGCAGCTCTCATGATGTCTGGGAGCTGCTATTATACCTCTATCCTTTAAAAAGGCCATGCCATGATGCACCCTAGCCAGCAGAAGGGATTCTACTTGCATCTACCTCAATGTGAAGTTTACATTTTCCCTGCTCTTTTCCTCCTGCTCTGACAGATCAGCGACACTTCTTGATGATGTTTAAACCCTTAGCCTTAGAAAGGGGCTACGCATTGCATCCAGGAAACATTTGACAAGCAGAGACTTGGAAAAGATGAAGTTACTCACCTACTCCCTTCTGTAGCAACTTCAGAGCCTCTCTTTATGCACAGACCACAGGGCCAAAATCAAAACATAGAACGAGTCTGTGAAAATTAACCACCTGCCTTCGGTATTGGTCAATGTAAAGTATATTCTCTTCACAACACAAAATGGAATGTGTTTGGCATTGAAAATAAGCCCTGGTTCTCCTGCCGTTGGAATTAGACAAGTTAACACAAAATAAACCATGAAGACAACCAGCTCAGCCCCTTCTGTTGGAACTGGGAAGAAGGGGGAGAGAATGGGAAGCATGGAGAAAGACTTATGTTGTTACTACACTGTAGAAAGAAAACTTCAGCTTTTCTTATCTTTTGACCACTTCAAAGTCTGAGCTGCTCTGAGTTGGTGTTGCTGGAGTCTCACTCTCTCTTCCAAACCTGGCTGCATTGCCAGAGTCCCACTCGCCTCCTTGTAGAGACTGGGGCTTGTCTGAGACTGCCTGGAGGACAGTAGGGAGCTGAACAGTGCAGGTCAAAACCTGAACTGGCCTGTTGCAGGGTAAGGTGACCACCAGCTCAAGAGCAAATGCAGGGCCTTGACAGCATCCTCTTAAATTAAATGGTTTTGATGTTTTATCATCAGGTGTCTCAGCAGCACAAAGGTGTCTAAAAGCAAAGTGTTTAGTTTCAACTAGTAGCAAGAGACAGGCTACCTTGCCCAGACACCATCCGGACACCTGAAACACACACATGGGACTGCCAGCTGTGGCACAGGGGCTGCAAGAGACCCAAGACTTGTGGAGAAGCAGCTGAAGGTCAGGCAGGAACCCTAGGGCATCTAAAATGTCACTAATTGCTTTTGACTAGAAACTGAATCACTCTTACAGAGTGGAGGGAAATAGGACTTCAAGGAGGAGCATCTTCTGGCAGCAGTATTGGCTTCAGGCAGCATTTTACACAGACAGCATCAGGTGAAATGAACCCAATCCCAAATTGAATTTCCATAATTATTTTTTTTCCAAAAGGTTTTTATTTTTCCCTTAAACTCTCTGTGGCTTTGTGACCTAGGGCTCTAAATCCACTTATTTTTACTATGACCAGTGACTCTAAGTTGCTTTGGTGTTTCAAAAAAAATGTATTTCAAAACCACCTCCCTGGAAACTGTAAGAAGTCTGCATGCAGAACAATGAACTCCAGGTTTGTCAATTCTACTTCAGTGATTAAAATTTAAAAGACACTTCTTTTCCCTTCATAGCTCTTTCTTGTCATAATCCTATGAGAAAGTGGTCATCTCACTGTTCCCAGAAATCTAGCCACTTCTAGGATGGCATATGGGACACGATTCGTTTGCAAACAGCAACAGGAGGTGATACTTTGGGAAGGAAATGCATGTACTGAGAGCGTTTGCACTAACAAAAAAAACATGCGGATGTGCATGGCCATATGTAATCTTGTACACTTGAAAAATGAAGTAGACTATAACCGGGTTATGGATCATAACACACTAAAAAACTACAGCACTTCAGGATGATGAGCTGTACATGGAACGCTCATTGTCAATCCTGCCATTTCTCAGCTGATTCACATAAATGAGGACGTAGCTTTGGCATGTAATCAATACCCCGAGTGAGGGAAGTAGAGTGAAGCTTGCTGTAGCAGCAGGACCCCTTATTAGAAAGAACATAACCTATTCTTATTCTTAAAGATGATTTAAAGGGCAGAGACTGCTTATCCTGACACTGTAAATGATAAAAAGTCAATTTCTGGGATTGAAGTTCACTGCTGAGGTGGGTGAAAAAGTTCTCATGTGGTGGAGTTTTACCTAGAGGGGTCAAACATACGTCACTGACTTGCGTCACAGCCATGTACTTTCCCAAATCTATCCCTAAAAATACAGGCTACAGTCATTGTGCCTGTCTATTTTAAAACTACTGGTAAGGACACCAGTGATCCATTGCTTGCTCTTGAGTAAAAGGTGTAGGTGTTGTGTGTAGGTGGCCAGCAGGTACGTCAGCAAATACAGTAGTCTGGCAGTATCAGGGTATAAATCTCCTGAGATTTATGACCTTTGTCTTGTGCTTATTCTCATTTACTTTGTGTTTTCCTGTTTGTTTCTTAACTCTTTGGGAAACACGTCTCTCTTCTGTCTGGCATCTGAACAGCACCTAGCACAGTACAGTTCTGGCTCATACATGCTAACCATAGCATCTTAAAAGACTGTGAACTATCATGGCAGATTCTGCAAAGTAGGAAACTGCAAACAAAGAATTTTCTGTTTAATTTGCAGTAAAGGGATTTAAATTAGATGGTAAGGCAAGCTGTCTAACAGTAGCACAGTGAAGAATAAATAGATTGCCTTGGAAGGCCGTGGATCTGTTATCACTGAGAAATGCAGAGAATAGTTTAGCCAACCCCTTCTTAGGACTCATTAGTGAACTGATCCTGCCCAGAAAAATGGTGATGAACCTTATGACCTCTTAACATCTTCTTTTGAGGTTGTTTTTTGTGTTTCTGTGATCTTTCAAAGATGACTCTGGACTTTAACCCCCTACATCCCACTCAGACTAGGGGCAACTTTGTGTCCAGGTTCCGTGTTCACCTTGTAAAACCTGTTGACCGAACAAACCTCATCTGTAATCCATCAATACATTTTATGTCAGCCATTTTATGTCATATGAACATGTTTTTCAGTGCTATTTTTCAGCATAGGCCCTAATTTCTCTGGGAAGTTGTATTTTCGTGGTGCAGCTCTGAAGGGAAGAGATACTCTCTGATGTAAACCAGGTGCATGATTACAGAAGCCATTAGTTGCTGGCCCAAAATTTATCCAATTCCTCTGTTGCACATTCAGTACCATGACGACTGCGGGCCTGATTCCAGCGCTACTGCATGGTTGCTAGAGTTGTTTTTTCTTCTTTTCTCTAGACTGTATGAGAAGAATTGTACTAAAAACAGCTTGAGGTACAGAACAAGCTGTAGAAAAGCCAGTCTGCTAGGGATGGTGTAAATGATTCAGACAATAATGGTAACAGAGCCATTGTTGAGGACTACAGTGTGATCAATACTACATTCAGGTCCAGGCACTACTGTTCTCAGCAGAGTATTGATGAAAGACAATAAACTTCAAGGGATAATTATAAGTAAAAGTAAAAGTTAAATAAGTTGCGTGGGCTGAAGGATGTTTAAAAGTATCAGGAAGGAGTAGAAATCCAGAAATATTTGAAAGGTGTAAACATCACAGAAAGAGATATTACTTCTGAAGTTCAGTGAACCATAGGATGGTACAACATTTTTCTCAGTAATGGATAAGTCTGCGGCAAAAACCAGGAAAAAAAGACCGGCTGAAAAACAGTTTTCTCCAGTTTGCGAGCCGGAAAAGAGATCTGACCATCTAAGTACAGGCA